CTACCTTTCTCAAGTTAAATATTTATTATTATATATAATTAAAATTTATAATAAATTTTATATAAATAAATATTATATTTAGAGATATAAATTATATTTAAAATTAGTATAAGTAGAACTTGAAATATGTAAATAAATTTTTATATTTAAGATAAATAAATATTTTATTTTTAATTATTGATAATTTATTTAAAATATTAAAAATTAACTATAAATAAATATATATAAAAAATAAATTTTATATAAAGTCAAAACATTCTTGTAAAAAAAAATACCTACTAAAAATATTTTTATATCAAATAATTATTTATATTTAATATGTAAGAACTATAAATAATTTATATTATGCTAAAGGATATTTTCAAATTGAAACCAAATAAAATATTTTATTTTATAATATGAAAATAGGACAGAAATTAGCATTATGAACTCATTCAAGTAGTTAACTGTTTCAGAAGTTACACACCCACTACAGTAGATAAATCTTATTTCCATAAATGATTAAATTTTATTTCAAATCATAAAATACTAATTTTGTAATAATATGTGTAATTATGCAGATCTTTTAATAAATGAATAGAAATTTAAAATTTATAAAATATAAATAATTTTATTATATTATTCATTTAACAATAACTTATATATTATCAAAAGCATGAGAAATTGTAATCATGTGTAATTTTTAAATATTATTTATTTTTAAAATATTACTAGTATTTATTATTGTATTAATAATATTTTACATGAATTTAATAAATTTTGTTTTTATACCAATTCTTGTGAGACATTTTAAATTTGTTCCTCTCCCCAGGTTTCTCTTCTTTATTATTTCTGATGCAGGTTCTTGTTTGTGATTGTGTATTTTGTGGTCCGTGATTTCATGTCATTAATGACTTTTAATTTTTCATTTTTTGAAGTTCGAGAAATAGAAATAGTTGACAAGCATAATTTATTTTACTTTTGCAATCTATGGATCCGGCCAAAGATATTTCCATGTTCTTCACTTCCATTTTAAATTTGTTTTAATAGCAGTTTTAAACATTTTGAATATAATATTTTTTTAAGTTATTTAGTTACTTTCAATTTTTTTTTCCGCCATCACTTCTTATTAATCTTCTATATTTATTTTTTTTAATACTCGCTAAATGTAACTATTAGTTACTTTCTATAACTAAAACACTGTTTAGTTGAGAATTTGTATAGACTATGCTTGGAAAAAAAATTTAAAAGCCTAAATTAAATCTCTTTGGTTTTTGTTGATTCAGTGTATCACATAATTCATGAGGGACGAATGATTAAACTTGAGTGAATCCCGAGATGAAATGTAAAGCTTAGGATTTAACTTTGTAAGATGGTGGCTAATTAAGGTGCACCAGTCTAGCGAGTAGTTTCCATGAATTTTGTACATTAAATTCATTATTAATATATTCAACAACTTAGATGAGTGATTTATAATAATTTGTAACAAAATTTTAGATATAATTGTATTTTACCCATTTTTGGTTAGATCTAAATATAATGACTCCGGTGAAAGGAAGGTTTGATGACAACTCTTTATATTATTATTACTCCTTCGTCGAGTTCTCCGCTAACGATGAATATAACTTGGAGTATGTTTGTTATCGATTTAAAACCATGTTCAACCAAAAAATACATATTTTAATGCAGAAAAAATAAAAATTTATGAATATAACTTTTTTTTAATAACATCTAATTAAGACATATTCCATCAAGTTTACATTTTTAATAGATAGATAAGTTTGCATACGAAATAATTTTTTTTTATCTGTATCTATTGTAAAACTCGCAATTAACGGAAAAATATGTAGATTCACTAAAAAATTTAAAAAAAAAATTCCCTTCCTTTTTCAAGTTCAGAAAATGTAAGAGAAAAATATATATGTTAAAAATATAAAATAAATAAATAAATTATGAAAGTCTTAACATATAAATGTTTCCACATTTAAACCAAAACATTAAAATATTAAAATATCAAATTTGCACATTTAATTAAAAATATATGGCTTAAATATTTTTTTAGTCTTTCAAATTTAAAACAAATTTTTTTTTGTCTCTCAAATTTAAAACTGTTATTTTTAGTCCCTGTAATTTTAAAAAATATTATTTTAGTCTCTTAGGTTACTAATAATGTGAGACCCCTAGTTCTTTTTCTTTTCCCCGCTTCACCCTCACTCACTCAATTCCCTTTCACTTTTCTTACTCACTCTTTTCCTTTGATCTTTCATTTGGTTGTACAAGGTGGTTGTGCTGAGTAGTTGATTGTTAGCTGGTGTGTTTGCGGATCTCTTCTTCCTCCTTTCCCATTTCGTTCAAGCCATTCTCGTTGTTCTTTTTCCCGGAGCTCGGAATCTTTGCCGAGGTAAGGGAAGCTAGATTTCTTCGCTGTTTTTGGATGCAAATGAGTTCAGGCAACTCATTAGTTGTTGAGGTGGTTGATTCTTGGCTGTGATTGAAGGGGTTTTTCGTTCTCGGGTTTTTCGGGGTTTGGGTGCAAATTTTGGGGATTTTACTTGTTTGATGGTTGCATGTTGAAAATGAAGTGTTTTTCGTAATGCTTGATGAAAATGTGGGTTTTTGGTTGGTTTGCATGTTGGATTTCTGGTTGTTTTGCAAGGTTGGGTGAAATTTTCGAACTTGCTGGAGTTGCTGCTGAGCTTCGTGCTTCGCGCAGTTCTTCGCGCTGGGCCCGTGGCTACTAGGGGACTCCATTTAGGCAAGCCCGTCGGGCGCAATGATGGGTGCGTCGGGCGCGCTTGAGAATGTGGGTCTCTGGTTGGTCCACGCTGGACGTGACTTGGACCGCGCTGGGTGCGATACCAGTTGTAACCTGTTTTGGGCTTTTTGATTCTGCGCTGAGCGCGACCCTTGTTGCGCTGGGCGTGAGACTTCTTGGGAGTCTCTGTCTTGAGGGCGCTGTGCGCAATTTGAATTGCGCTGGGCGCGAGACCTTGGGGAGGTCTCTGCATTCCCCACGCTGGGCGCGGGTTTAGGCACGCTGGGCGCATGAGAATCCATGGAGTCTCTGCCTGGCATGCGCTGGGCACAATTGGTATTGCGCCAGGCGCGGGTGAGCCTTGGGCATGCTTGCGCCGGGCGCGGAGGTGAGATTTTACTATGTACTGATAGATGTTGTAAAATGTTGTTTTATGCCGAATTGAGCTGAAATTGATGAATATGATGTGTTGATTATAGTTGAGGATGTAGAATTGTGATGTTGAGCTGTACTAGATGTTTATTGCTGAGATGAGCCGTATCAAATGTATATTGATGAGTTGTGCCATGTTGTAAGTTGTTGTTGCTGCATGTTGTAAGATGTGTTGTGTTGTATGCTGATATAAACTGTTGTAGGCCGTAAGGCTGAGTTGTTGTAGGCCATAAGGCTGAGTTGTTGTAGGTCGTAAGGCTGAGTTGTTGTAGGAGATCTCCGAGATTATATGTGTGACGACGCATTGTGTGCTTATTGTTGTTTACGCTGTATAGTTGATGAGGTGTATATTGATGTTGTGCTGATAAGTTGTAGTTGTTCATATTCCATGTATATGTTTATATGCTGATTCTTTTCACTAGCTTACCCTTTGTTGTTTCCATGTGGTTTGGACTGCGATGATCATACTATGTATGAGAGCAGAGCAGGGATAGGGTGGTGGCCAGTGGTAAGTCTGCAGCTGGCAGGCGGAGCTGATCCTTGTTGATGTTTTGTTGTTTCAGCTACTTGGTGTAGTAGCTTTGGAAGTATTTTTGTACATTTTGAATCTAGTCAGACTTGAACCATGTATATATGTATATTCTAGACACTATATGTATATACTTGTTCCTTTCTGTCCGGTTTTTGGGTGTACTGTGTAGTGTGTAGTGACCAGCCGGGTCGTTACAAATAACATATTTGAAAGTGACTAATTAAGACAGTTATGCAATATCAACCGGATTAAATGTGATATTTTTACTAATAGAGACACCAATAGGTAGATTTTATACAATAATGTTTGATAAATTTCTTAATAAAATTTGAATATAAAGACTAAAATAAGATTTTTTGAAATTATAGGACTAAAAACAACAATTTTAAATTTGAGGGACCAAAAACAAATTTACCTTAAATTTGAGAGACTAAAAATATATTTAAGTCAAAATATATTTATAAAAAAAATCTAAAATATATTAAAGTAAAAAAAGTGTAATATATTTTAAATAATATATATATATATATATATATATATATATATTTATTAACAAAATATTAAAATCACTTGTATTTCACGAGTTAGGCTTAATTTTTTTTTATTATAAGGTGTATTTTTTTTTTATTATAAGGTGTATTTTAAAAAGAAAAAGGTATGTTTACTATGTTGGTAGCAGGCCCACAAAGCTGAGCCTATATAATATACCTAGCCGTACGCCCAATCGCCAAATACATCATTCATATGCTAATTTGAAGGCTTATAAATAGTAATGTTGACCGAACATCATGAAATTGGTCATAGAGATGAAATTTGACACATTAAAAAAGAGAAGATCAAAAGTAAACATTTTAAAAATAAGAAATCAAAAACAAACTTTTACATAAATAAAAGATGTTTAGCCCAAAAAAACAATAATCTCATCTCTTCAATGGAGTTTTAAAATATATATAAAATAGGACAACACAATTTTAAAAACTGGAAAAACAAATTAAAAAAAAAAAAAAGTAAAGACAGTAAAAGTGAGTTAACGTGGGCGTTGGTTGAATGAGTGAGTGGAGATGGAAGTGAGTTAAAGCTCATGGTCTGATTTTGATCTCTCTTCCTTCTCTCGCATTTCTCATGTTACTGTTACTGTCTCTGTAAACAGTGAACATGTTATGTCCATGCTTTTAGCGATTCCCTTCTGGCCCTGTTATTATCACTCACACTCACACACTCACATTATTTATTTCACTTTAAATAAACTACCGAATCTCTTTCATTCGAAAATTAAAATTCATTAAATCCTAATCCCTCCCTCTATTATCTGTCATCATCTCTCTCTCTATTTAATAACTACAATTATTCCTTCTCACTTCGCTAACCTCCTTTTCTTTCTTCCTTCTCTCTGCTCTACATTCCTGGGATCTGCTGGCTTTGCTTTTAAAGGTACGATTTTGGGAACTGGGTTTTCTTTCCGTTTCTGTTTGAGTTTCAAATTCTCTTCTGTTGGTGTTACTCAATACTCATACACTTCTTCCTGCTTCACTTTTTTTTTCCTTTCTTTTTGCTCTGTTGGAGAAATCCAAATCTTGCTTTTAGTGAATGCCTTTTCATTTTTTTAGTTTTTAGCATAATCGCATCTGATTATATTTTGTTTGGACGTGGAAGAATAGAAATGATGTCAAATTCATGGCTAGGAGTGTCTGGTTTTGTTGTGTAGATGGAATAAGCAGCATGAGGGGTTGTTAACGAGGATGTGTTTTGAAAAAGTAAATCAATAAATAAAAATTGAGCTTTGCCTTCAGTTCATATTGTGTGTGTTGTGTGATCTTTTCAATTTCGCTAACCTTGTTCTATATGCGCAGACTATTTTCACTTCCACCTGATTTGTGTCTTGAGTGCTCTCTCACTGCATCTGAATTAGAGGGAGAAAGCTTAAATTTTGTTATTATTATTTGTACATTAGTAGAATTTCCAACAAAAAGGATCTTTTGGAGGCACTTTGATGCCATTCTGAGATGTTCTGTGCTTACAACTTAAAAGCCTTTTTGTTGTCATATTTTGGTTAGAGCAAGTTATCTAAGGAAAGTAGTTTCAACTTTTGAACAGGGCAAAATGACAGATGCAAAGCCAGATGCACCCTCGATGGCATCATCATCGCGAAAGCTTCCCGATTTCAAGAAGTCTGTCAAATTGAAGTATGTGAAGCTTGGTTATCATTACCTCATCACTCATGGAATGTACCTGTGTCTTTCCCCTCTTGTGGTGTTGATTGCTGCTCAGCTCTCCACCTTCTCCCCCCAAGACCTGTATGATCTTTGGGAGCATCTACAATACAATTTGATATCTGTTATTCTTTGCTCAACACTCCTTGTTTTTCTGTCCACACTCTACTTTCTAACTCGTCCTCGACCAGTGTATCTTGTCAATTTCTCATGTTACAAGCCTGAAGAATCCCGGAAATGCACGAAAAGGATATTTATGGATCACTCTCGGTTGACTGGTTCTTTCACAGAGGAAAATCTTGAATTCCAGCGGAAAATCCTTGAGAGATCTGGCCTTGGAGACTCCACTTACCTTCCTGAGGCTGTCCTCAACATTCCTCCCAACCCTTCAATGAAAGAAGCTAGAAAAGAAGCTGAGGCTGTGATGTTCGGTGCCATTGATGAGCTATTAGCTAAAACCTCTGTCAAGCCTAAGGACATTGGAATTTTGATTGTAAATTGTAGTCTGTTCAACCCAACTCCATCACTTTCGGCAATGATTGTCAATCATTACAAGCTTCGGGGTAATATAAAAAGCTACAACCTTGGTGGGATGGGTTGCAGTGCAGGGCTGATCTCAATTGATCTTGCTAAAGATCTTCTCCAGGCCAATCCCAACTCCTATGCATTGGTCATTAGTATGGAGAATATCACGTTGAACTGGTATTTTGGAAACGATCGATCAAAGCTTGTTTCTAATTGTTTATTTCGAATGGGGGGAGCTGCAGTTTTGCTTTCCAATAAAAACTCGGACAGAAGAAGATCCAAATACCGATTGGTCACCACGGTTCGCACTAATAAGGCAGCTGATGACAAGTGCTTTAGCTGTGTAACCCAAGAAGAAGATGCCGATGGCAAGGTTGGTGTTACTTTGTCAAAAGATCTTATGGCGGTTGCAGGTGATGCTTTAAAAACCAATATCACCACACTGGGGCCTCTAGTACTTCCAACATCCGAGCAGCTACTGTTCTTTGCCACGTTAGTTGGGAAGAAAATTCTCAAGATGAAGATCAAACCTTATATTCCAGATTTCAAGCTAGCTTTTGAACATTTTTGCATCCATGCTGGTGGTAGAGCTGTTTTGGATGAACTGGAGAAAAACTTGCAGCTATCCCCTTGGCATATGGAGCCATCAAGGATGACTCTTTATCGTTTCGGAAACACATCCAGCAGTTCGCTTTGGTATGAGCTAGCTTATACAGAAGCCAAAGGGAGGATCAGAAAGGGAGATAGAACATGGCAAATAGCATTCGGTTCTGGATTCAAGTGTAACAGTGCCGTTTGGAAGGCTCTCAGGACAATCAACCCTGCTAAGGAGAAGAGTCCTTGGATGGATGAGATTGACCAGTTTCCAGTCGATGTTCCTAGGGTATCTTCCATTTAATCAATGAAATTTTAAATATTTGTGTATCACTATCAGCATTAGGTTGTAGCTGTTGGACTGGTGAAAATCTCCTGCAAAGTTGTTGTAATACATTGTTAATTTCAGAGTATTGTAGGGTTTTTATTAGGCCAAAACTTATATGCAATGTTGTTCCTTAGGTGTTCTTGGTGTTGTTTTTAATCTGAATTAGAGTTTTAACTTGGTAACTTATGTTGATATTTAATGCAAATCTTTAATATATAAATTACTGAGATTAAATTCCAATTCTGATGGAAGAAATTTTATTGAAGTTTTAAGTTTGGGGGTAGATTTTGTTAAATCCAATCTAGTCAATGGGAGGTGCTTGATCTTTGGTTGTCGTGAGGCGTGTTTCTCGTTGGTCTGGTAATGTAATGCGTAGGGCATCTGAAATGTAATTCCAAATTTCTCTAATGAAATTGGAATTGAACAATTCCATTTCAATTCTTTCATAAGGTGATGCTGAAAACAAAATTCCAAGGTAATTCTTGGTTAGTTATTTGTATCAGCATCTGTACACAATTCATGAGCTATATGAGGTGATTTTCAGCTGCATGGCTATCGTATACCAGTATCTGAAACATATAGCTCTTGCATTAGAATATTGCATAGTTCTCCGTTTCCTCTATTAATATTCTTTTATGCATGAAAAATAAATGAAAAGATGTCCTTTTTTCCTTTCTTTTTCCAACTACTATTCTTTCTCTCTCAAGCAAAGGAACAATTCAATGGTTTTTGTCTCTGCTCTGGGTGGCGTGTTTGTTGCAATCCTTTCTTGACATAATTCGTCTCTAGTGAAGCATTAGTGCAAGCAAAATTGACATCCAAAGACTTTGAAAATAGGAGTACAGACGAGGCTGGTTTTTCTTTGTAAGTATTTGTAAGGAATGAAAATAAAGTAAAATGAATCGATTTATTTTAAAAGTTAAAATTTACTTGTGCATTTCAGCTTTTAGAAAAATTGGATGAAAAATCTTCTGGAAAAATTAAATATATAAGTTAACTTTATCTGAAGAGAAAAGCTTGATTATTTTAATTTTTTACAAGTGATTATAAAAAATATATATTCAAATGGACAACTCGAGTGATGTCAAGGAGAAACCCTTGAAAACATAGGTCAACACTTTTTTTAAGATCTCGTTATGTTAAAATCAGGAAACGAAATTATAGAAAAATGACTATTAAGTGATTTTTTTTAAAATCATATCCCACAGAAAAATCTTCATAATTTTGCTTATAGCAACTTCAATTTTTGTTTATTAATAAATAAATAAAAATATCAACAAAATTAAAGTTTACTGTAGTAATTAATATCCACCTTTAATATTTATTTTAATATTTTACAAATAATTGTAGCGAAAGTAAAATTTTAACTAAAAGATAGTAACAAAAACACCGAAATACGTCGTAAAATGAACTCCTACGTTAGTTACCGATGATCATAATCAAAGCAACGTAGCCACGGTAGTTACATTAATACGATTATGACCATCTTTTCAACATAGTATTGTGTTGTCATACGACAACATGCCCACGGAGGTTAGAATAATACCATCATGAAAACTATCATTTTCAATTTCATTATCATTATGTTGTCATACGACCACTACCACACCATTGATTTGATATATACACCATTGCTACATATTTGTACTGTACGTCAAAGGTAGGTGATCAGTTAACTTTCCATTTTGAAATTAGTGTATCATAAAATATGTATCCGTATTAAACAACTTTCATTCTCCATTTTTCATATTTCCTCCCTATTCTCTTTTTATTTTTTTACATTTCTTTATTACCAAACAAGAGATACATACAAGCATGAAAAACTTATCATTTATTATTTTATTGTCTCTACTCCAAAATAATAGTCTTTTTAGCCATTTATTTTCGCTTCCCAGAAACAATTTTTTTTAAACTATGCCCTTATATATGATTAAGATAATAAATGAATACTTGCATTGAAAAGAGACCATAGTCATAAAAATAACATTTTGAGTTCTCTTTCAAATTTACTCCTATCTATCTTTTAGGTTAGTGGTTGAAAAAGTAGGGAAAATTGTAGAATAATTTATGAGAACATAATTAATTAAGAGTATTTTATTTAATAATTTATGACAACATTAGTTAATTAAGAGTATTTTATTCTAATTTTACATTAATTGAGTAAATCTTAATGTGTTTTATAATCTTAAGCAATTGATAATTTTAGAACGGAAGAGAATAACATTTTTTTTATTTTTGTTTTGGTACAAAAGACTTCTAAAAACACTTAAATATTGTCCAAGTATAAAATAATTAATAGTAAAAAAACTAGTTTCATGACTCTAAAAAAAAGTTATAGACTCATTTGCACATGTCCAACGTCATTTTGGAATATCTTATTTGAATCCCAAATTTTCTAACTTGATCACCTTTTCCATTTAAGAAGTCACTAAAAAAAATTATCCCACACACTTGATCACTAGGTTCTTTTTTCAAGACTGATAAAAGACGAGTAGGTCTAGGTGGGATTAGTCATAGACCAATCTTATTATGTCTTCAAGTCGACATATAATCAAGGAATGTTGAACCTTCCTTCTTTCATAAGTGATGTCAAATGACACAACCCTAGTTTAACTCGTCTTTAAGTGTCACTTGAGGTTAAATCCAATAAGATACACAACATTCAAGCTTCAAGTATGAAAGCGTAAAGAAGCTTAAACATGTCGGTTAATAAATTGACTAATTCCTTATAATAATGTCTCAAGATTATACTTAAGTAGATATAACTTTATTTTCATATATATATTGCTCTTTAAATTGGTTGAAAAATGAACATGAACATCTCAAAATAAATATTTAAACTTAGGTAGTATAAAAAATTAACCCCTTCTATTAAACCAAACTTGGTGTGTGTAACATTTTTTTTTTTTGAATCTTTTACAAGTGTATGTAAAAATACTCCTAAGATTTGCTTAAAAGCATTCATAAAAGAGAATAAAAGAATATTAAAAATTTTATATAACAAATCTCTTGTATAGAAAAATAGTTTAAGTTAATCATTCATACATTGCGAGTATAAAATTTTTTACATCGGCAATTAATCATATCTTTTAAATTATTTTATTTTATTTTTATTTTATTAAATAAATAATTAACATAACACTATTAAAAAATATGATTGATTATTAGTAAAAAAGTTTTACAGTGACGATATATAAATGATTAACTCAAATAATTCAAATAGAGAGAGATATTTACGTAAAGTAAAAAATGTCTCCTCTCCCATTAAAAGTTGTGCATCCAATCAAGGCTTGTGCAGATAAATAATAAATACTTTACATTTGTTGAATAAACAGGGGTGGGGAAGAAGGGGAAAATTGTAGTGTTAGACTCACAAAAAGTGTTGTATGTGTTGAGATAGGAGTTATTATCTGGTCGTGTTCTAGGCGTTTAAGTACACCAGAAACATTGTGACAATAAATAAGAGTATCGTAGCTTCCCAATGGAGGAAGTTATTTTTATCATGCAACCATGGATCCCACCAAATTTAAAGAGAGTCGTCTGCATGGAGAAAAAAGCTTACACCGGATGGCAGATGCAGATATGTCTCCAAGACCAACAAATAATAAATAGTCCCAACAGCTTGATGGGAAAGGAATTGAAGTACAATAAGAGAAATGGCATGATTGCTTTCTTAGCATGCAATTTTCCAACACATGAAGGATAGTAGCAGAAAGAGAAGGCGCAATTAAGAACAAGTTAACCAGGAATAGTCCTCAATTAAGAATAGTAGCAGAAAGAGAAGGCGCAATGAAGAGCAAGTTAACCAGGAATAGCAGGTCCTAGTCATTGAAAGAGTTGTGGATATGAGGAATGGCAGGGGCTAGGGTAGGGTGGGGGGAGTAAGAGTAATCCCTCTCAGTAGCAGTGGCCAGTGGCCCCCACTCTGCCATCAGCCCTCGTCCAGTCGTTCTTCACTTCAAAATCTGCCCTACTGGGAACTGCAGTGTACATTACTCAACGGTTAATGCAGCAACAGCAACCAACATTCACACAAAATTTCTCTAATAAAATGTTTTCGCACAAAATAGAAATGCTTTTTGAGAATTTCTTCTATAGGAAAAAAAGACCTGTTTACTTTTTAAATGCTGCTAATCGCAATTGCATTTTCACCCCTCCTTCTCGCAATATTGTAGTTAACCCCTTCCTCACTCCTCTGACCCCCTGTACTCTTCTATTTACTTTTCTACCTTTTCAATGTTGCATAAAAAAAATATAAAAAAAAAATTCAAACTAACTTTCTCATTCTTCCAAAAATTTAATACACCCAAAATTTTGACACACTCCCGCCTAAATATTCTACCCCAAAAACTTTAATCCATTCAAATTAAAAAGAAAAATCAGGTTACAATAACATCAAATTTACAGCCATACCCATTTGTTGGGCTAAGCACTAAACCTGGATTCTTCTGTATAATATAGCATTAGTTTTATATATATTATCATTTTGTAAACACGTAAAATCAACCCACTCATAATGACGGTAATTAAACAGATATATACCATAGATTTCTACATAATTATACCAGATTGCAATAAAAGCGTAAACAAACAAGAACATTAGAGCGAGATTAATATTAATAGAGCAAACACTTAACGTTTACGCTGCCTGGTTCAATTCCCTATTTTTCATTTCAAATACTAGACAGCGTGTATAACCCAGGAAAATAAAAAATATATATATATATATATACTAGAACTTAAGTACCGGCCAAAATTGGACTGGCCAGAATCTATAGAAGCCGCTTTCCAAAGACCATGATTCTTGAAGTATACCAAGTCATTTCCTATATTCCATAAACTCCCATGTCAGAAATGAAATGAAAGCAAACATAGAACTTATTTCAGCCAGCTGCAACAAGCTCGATCAATTCAGTAAATCTCAAACACAAACTAAAATTTACAAAATTTAGTTTACTAATCTCGTACATAAGTAGGCACTTGATCTAGTTAATTCTAACACTGCCAGACAAAATGCACGACTATTAGCTTGACTCCTCCACAGCCTCATCCTTTTCTTTAGATTTCCCTTCATCTGTTATATGAAAACCCTCAATCTTGCGTGAAACCTCGTCTGCAGTCACCTTCACCTTTTCAATTGATCCATTTGCAGACAAAGCCTCCGAGTCATCGAGAGTCAATGGGCCAGTCTGCCATATTCGGATGGTTCCATCCTCAGATCCTGAGGCATAGGATTCTCC